ACTGATCTGGATTACAATACGTCTAAATCCGTCATAAAAGGAAGGATTGAAACAATAACCGGAATAAATATTATACCAAAATGATGATTGACCGGCCTGTACTCCATAAAAATAGTATAAAAAGCGCTTGCTTTGCAGATTAGCAAGCTACGCTGTTATTTTCTTACAATACCTTTATTATGAATTTTCTTGACAAATATACGACACAACAAAGAAAAATTTATAAAAATGTATTTAAATATTTCTCTACAACCGATGCAAGCAACTGGTCTCTTGAGAGCTATATATCATATGCAAGGAAAAAAACGAGGAAATTTTCTTTAGCTGAAAAATTACTTTTGGCGTTTTATACATATAGTTTGTCCGAGTGTCTCTTGACAAGCCTAATAAACCAGGAAAATTTCAACCATAAAATTGCTGAATTAGTTAAGTATTTTATTATATTATTTTATTTTATTTATGATGTGATGAAATAGAAAGTGTTTGTGCGGCTTTATGTTGGGCATAATATTTTCATTTTTTCAAGTTGTTGATAGGATATACTGTTGAAAGCTTGTGATTTATTTGGCACTTCAGTATATTTTTTGTACTTTCAGTTGCTATAGCTTGCGATGGTATATATACTATTGACGTGCGTGGTTGAGTTATCAACTTATACTGTTGGCATTAGGTCACTTTAGCACCCTTGCAGTATAAGTGTTGGCACCTTGTGTTCGCTTTAGCAAATCAGAATTATCTGTCTTAAGGTCTGCCAATTTTGAAGAAGTATTGGTTATGTATCTTAAATAGTTAATTCATGGTTCGAGTTGATATACCATGTCTTGATATGTATATATATTTATGCTTTAATTTGACTTACGCATGAAATTTTTACAGAATTTCATTATCCTCTCTACTTTAACATATAATAAATAATGTTAATGCTACAAATGGGATAAACACTTATACAGTAACTTTTTATTTATTAGAATAATAATCAAGGTTTTATAATCAAGAATTCTAGTTTTACGAGATCGAGAAAAAAGTTCTATTTATTTAATATTACGGTGCGAATAAGTTTAATTGATTGTTTAACCTGATGAAGAAACTAAATATTTATTAATTTAATTTTATTTATAGGATGGAGATATTAGTATGTATCCGTGGAATATTGAGAATACTAGTATGCATGAACGGATCAAGACGTGTTTGCGAGATGTAAATCTGGACAATCTTGACTATGATGAGCCAATATGTTCATCAATAATCGACACTGAATTTCCACCCATCTATATTAGAAAAGAATTTTCTAATAATGAGTGGGAAATAATTTCTGATAATAAACATTGTTACTACAAGCAATTTTTCAGAAAAAATGAACGTTTTTTTACGACTTCTGAAGACATAGCAATTACACAACATTTGTAAGTATAAAATTAAAAGGATGTGGCTTGTTAAAAAAATTTACAAATATCATTTGAAAATATTATAGTAAATGGATACGAGAGATGGAGAACTATAAAAATTATGATGTTGAAATCAATGAAGGAACATGGCAGATTGATGCCATTTTAATTCCACTAAAATATTCTGCAAGATGTATTCCGGACATTATAACATTAATGTAAGTTATAACGAAACAAAAACAAGAGAATATATTCAATAATTTACTTTAAACTTTTTTATTTTGATGTCATTTATGACTTTTCACAGGCCTGAAAAGCCAAGTCGAGCATCAAGCGAACGAAGAAATTCTGTGAGTTCTGATACATACAATTCTTCTGACGAAAATAAGGAAAATAAAGAATCTGTCACCAAAAAAAGGAAAAGAAAATATGAAAAGCTTCCTTCAATAGAAAAGGTAAAGCTAATATTAAATTCCTTTAAAAATATATGAGTCTCGGCAATAATATACACGATTTGACTAATCAATTTTTTGCTGTCTAATTTACATTATATAGAAAAGAAAAAAAA